ATGGATGGATGGATGGATGGATGGATGGATGGATGGTTGGATGGATGGATGGACGGACGGTCGGATGGCTTATATTCCATCGAGTCATTTTCGACTCTTAGCAACCACATAGATAGATGTTCTCCAGGAGGATCTGTCCCCAACCTGGTCCTTCAGGTCTTCCAAAGGTTCACCCATCACTGCTGTAACAGAGCATATCACTAACAACTTTTAGTTTAGTTTAGAGCAGTGTTGTCCAAACTTGGCCACTTTAAGATGAGTGGACTTCAACTCACAAATTCCCCCAGCCAGCATGGCTGCCTGGGGAATTCTGGGAGTTGAAGTCCACTCATCTTAAAGTGGCCAAGTTTGGACAACACTGGTTTAGAGTTAATTCTCTCAAAAATCTGTAGTAGTCCCAGCTGTGGAACACATTCTTAGTTATTATTCTCACTTCTTTGAATATCATCTCCTGAAAAGGCACCACCTTTTTACACATCAACCACAAAGGCAAAAATGGTCCCCACGCGCTTTCTTTTAAGAGTCCAATGCTCGCTCAGCTGTTACTTTTTCCCTCCCCCCACATTACCCCACAGCTCAGCAATGTGAACAGTTTTTCCTGCCTTGTCTGGCCATCTCTCCTTTTTGACTCAATTTTGCCCCAGTTTTCCAGCACCAGAACCACCTGGTGTTTCTGCTTTGCCACCATCCACCATCCAGGAAAGTATTTTTCAAACTTGGCATCTTTTCTGCGATTTTATGTAAGATTAAAAAACTATGGAAACATGAAAGGAAAAGTAGAAAAAAGGAGACAGGAACGAATGAAAAAAAAGTGAAAGATAACGAAAGAGAAAGAAAAGATAGATGTCTAAGGAAGTCACTTCTGATCTTCTTTGCAGCAGTTACAAAGTAATTACCATCTCCACCCTCCCATATTATATATCATGGTTCCCTTCTTCCCATAAACAAACCTTTCTAGTCAATGAATCCCAAGATCTCTTCTTTGTTTATTGACTTGCTTACTTTCAAAATATGCTTGCCCAGAGGTTTCTTTTCATCCCCAGGGGGAAGAAAGACATAGACACACCATGGTCTAGTCTGAAAAGATGGTCTGTTGCACAGACTGCATTTTTTGCCACCCCTGTAACCATTCAGATGCCCATCTCAGCTGCAGCTGGTGAAGATGACAGGGAGCGAGTAGTAAGATGTCAGCCTTGCAAGGTAGTCCAGACAGGAAGCATGAACAGATGGATTAATTCTGCTTTATTGTAAGGTTTCATTAGCTGAATCTTGCAAGTCTGAAAGCACATCTCTCCCCGCTTGACTTTATAGCCCAAGAAACTAGGGAGGGTCCCTTCTGAAATGTTTGCCACCCCCATTCCTTCTGCGGGCTCAGCTGCTGCTTATCTGACTGTTGCCTAGTCTGTGACTCTTCCTCCTGTCCCCCAAGGCCATTCCCACATACCATTACACAAGAATAAGCCTGTTTGAAAGAACTTCTGAATGACAAATATGAAATTCAAACCAGCAGTTTTCTTCCTTGTCCTCTCCCTTCCTCTGTTTTGTCAGCTCAGTCAGTTATTTTAATCTTCAGCTTGGTCCAACTTTTCCCTTTTGCTTAAAAAGAAGCATGAACGAGAAAGAGAGAACCTATCACAAAGGATGTTGTGACAAGAAGCCTTAGATGTTTTAGTCTTGTTCTGCCAAGTTGACACTTTCTTGCATTAAGAACAGCAGAGATATTTGCACTGCAGTTGCATTAGTAATTCCGAGAATCTCCTTTTTTTTTTAGTTTATTTAGTTTCACTTGCAAAACCACATTTATGTCTGAAAGAGCAAGAGCTAAAGAGTGCTTTTAAAAGCATGAGACAACCAAGTGCTTTAAAAATACAGTTTGGAACAGATGCAGAATTAACTTTTGAGAATACAGTATTAAACAGTAGATGCAGGTAGATTTCTCGCCGAAAATCATGATTAATGTTGTGCAAATTTGTAAGCGTGTGTGAGTGTGTGGTATTTATACTTACCTCTGTATTGCAGTTCTTTTTTTTGATATAGTTTTTATTAAAGAAAGTTTAACAAAATAAAAGCCATAAGAGAGAATAAAAATAAGGAAAAACAAGAGAAAAAGAAAAAGTTTATAAAGAAGCGGCTTCTGATCTTCTTGACAGCAGTTATAGATACATTTATATTTTACCCTCTCTAAAATTATATCATAGTTTCGTTCTTTCCATAGTCTACCCTTTCTAATCTTCAAACCCATAAATCACAAGTTCATTTTTCTCTTTTTTCC